ACTTACCACGAGTAAAGTTTTATAGAATAATTACCACAAGTAAAGTTTTATAGAATACTTACCACAAGTAAAGTTTTATAGAATAATTACCACAGGTAAAGTTTTATAGAATACTTACCACGAGTAAAGTTTTATAGAATAATTACCACAAGTAAAGTTTTATAGAACAATTACCACAGGTAAAGTTTTATAGAATACTTACCACGAGTAAAGTTTTATAGAATAATTACCACAAGTAAAGTTTTATAGAATAATTACCACAGGTAAAGTTTTATAGAATAATTACCACAAGTAAAGTTTTATAGAATAATTACCACAGGTAAAGTTTTATAGAATACTTACCACGAGTAAAGTTTTATAGAATAATTACCACAAGTAAAGTTTTATAGAATAATTACCACAAGTAAAGTTTTATAGAATAATTACCACAAGTAAAGTTTTATAGAACAATTACCACAGGTAAAGTTTTATAGAATACTTACCACGAGTAAAGTTTTATAGAATAATTACCACAAGTAAAGTTTTATAGAACAATTACCACAGGTAAAGTTTTATAGAATAATTACCACGAGTAAAGTTTTATAGAATAATTACCACAAGTAAAGTTTTATAGAATACTTACCACAAGTAAAGTTTTATAGAACAATTACCACAAGTAAAGTTTTATAGAATACTTACCACAAGTAAAGTTTTATAGAATACTTACCACGAGTAAAGTTTTATGGAATACTTACCACGAGTAAAGTTTTATAGAATACTTACCACGAGTAAAGTTGTATGGAATACTTACCACAAGTAAAGTTTTATAGAATAATTACCACAAGTAAAGTTTTATAGAATACTTACCACGAGTAAAGTTTTATAGAATACTTACCACGAGTAAAGTTTTATAGAATACTTACCACAAGTAAAGTTTTATAGAATACTTACCACAAGTAAAGTTTTATAGAATACTTACCACAAGTAAAGTTTTATAGAATAATTACCACAAGTAAAGTTTTATAGAATACTTACCACA